CTCGTTTGAATACTTTTGGAACAACGGCGGCCTTGCCCTCGATGTATTCTACTAGGCTCCTGAGTTCCAGGTTAGCTCGCTGTCGCTCGGTGAAGTCGTTGGCACTTATGGTTCCTAGGAAGCAGTCATCATCAGGGTCGTACTTTGGCGGTGGTTCGGCTGGGGCATGTGACAGGCAGTCGGCGTCAGACTGTTTTCTTCTAAATTTGTAAACGACTCTAACGTCCAATTCCTGAAATGTCACGCAACCATGTTAGGTGGCCTGAATGGTCGCTCACAACTTTGAAATGCCTGCCGTAAAGGTAGGGGCGGAACTTTGATGTAGACCAAATGATTGCAAGGCACTCCTTTCTTTTGTAAAATAGTTGACATCTGCCTTTGACAGCGACCGGCTAGCATAAGTAATGACTCTAAGTCCGTTAGCCCTCTGCACAAGAACGGCGCCGTGTCCTACACTGCTCGTGTCGGTGTGTATTTTTGTCTCGGTGAATTCGTCGAAATGCGTTAGTAGCGGAGGCGTCTGCAGGCATCCTTTCAGTTTTTTAAATTTCTTTTTCTAGCGGAGTTTTCCACTTAAACTCTACGTCGGCCCTGATAAGGTTAGTGAGTGGCTCTGCAATGCGGGTGAAGTTTTTGACGAACCACCTGTAATAGGCACATAGACCAAGAAATCGACGAAAGAAAAATGACGCACGGACTTCTTGTCGGTGGGTGGTGGGAAGTTTGCAATGGAAGCTGTTTTCTGCGGATCGAGGCGAACGCCGGAACTGCTGACGACGTGGTCCAGGCACAAAATCTTGCTTGCAGTACCGCTTTAAGGTGCCGGAGGTGCTCGTCGAAGTGTGAGGAAATTACCACGACGTCGTCCAGGTACGCAAGGCAAATCCGCAACTTCAAGCTAGCCAGTACTGAATCCATAATGCGTTGGAAAATCATGGGTACCGAAGCAAGGACCAAAGAGCATGACCTTGAACTCGAACAGGCCGTCAGGTTTAATGAAGGCAGTTATTTCTAGATCTCTCTCGTCGACTTCACTATGCCAATAGCCGGTCTTGAGGACCATCGAAGAAAGTACCTCAGATCACATCCAGGGCGTCTCTACAGGGAAGAGGACGCACGTATTTCTTCGTGATCTTGTTCAGGCGGCGATAGTCGACGCAGAAGTGTAGGGTTCCATCTTTCTTGACTAACACATCAGAAGACGCCCACTGCACTCTTTGAAGGCTGGGTAATGTCATCGCGTACCATTTCGTCACTAGCTTTTTTATGGCATCGCGTTCTCGACACACCGTACGGGCTCTGATGGAGTGGCCTGGCACTTTCTTCCGTTAAGATGTGGTGTTTTGCAACCGGGGTCTGTCGAATTTTCGACGAAGATGAAAAACACTCCTTGTATTGTCGGAGCAGAGTTTTCAGTTGTTCTTGATCATGCGTCAAAAGGCTTGCGTCCGAAAGCTATTTGAGAAGCTTGGTTTGTCGTAGGAGCTTCGCTGGCTCGGCGAGGCCGAAAGCGTTGCTGGCTTCTATACTATGTCTTCAATGTAGGCAATCGCGGTGCCTTTGCTCACATGCCTGTATTCGTTGCTGAAGTTCGAAAGCATCACTATAGCTTCCTTTCGCGCAGTGCGGCTATAACTCTGGCAACAAAAATACTGCTGTTGGTCAAAAGGTACTGGTCGCCTTCAACGACGCATTGCATATTTGTTGACATCTGTGCTGCGATGGAAACGCTGACGCTGGAGCGAGGCGGAATGGTGACTTGTTCTTCCAGCACATTTAAGGTATGCTTTCCTGATGACGTGTGAAGCGACAGTGCTTTTTCTGTCGATAGCGTTATCGACTTTGATCTGAAGTTGATGACTGCACCGTGAAGGCCCAAGATGTCCACACCAATAATGATGTCTTCTGGAGCAACGTTGTGGGACCAGCTAAACTTAAGGGGTAACTGCGGTTGTTAATGGAGACTCTCACTGTGCAGATTACCAGCGTTACTATGTGACCTGAAGGTGTCGAGATCAGGCCTTCCCACGCGGTCTTCACTTTCTTCAACTTCGTGGCGAACGCTCCGTAGATGACGGAATAGTCGGCTCCCGAGTCGACAAGAGCTGTCACATTGGGGCCGTTGATGAGAACGTCGAGGTCTCTAGTTCGTCGTCGCACGATGCAGTTAGGCCGTGGCGTCGGGTCACGACTTCGTCGCGTGTTCCGAAGCTTCTGTGTTGCGTCATTATGGTGTCTTCGGTAGGCGAGGTTCCCGTTGTCACGACTAGATCGGGATACTGTCGCGTTCTCGAAGTTTTCGTCGTGGTGTCGTCGTCAGCGTTCGGAAGACCTTCGGTGGCTAATTGTACAGCAACCGCCCCTCATCAGGTTGCTGCAATTAGTTTTCCGAAGGATGCGGGCTAGGCGATCGGCCACGGATTGGGCCAGTGTACAGTCGCGGTGCGGACGAGCTGTAGCGGGCGGGCGACGGGTAACTGGTATGGTCGTCGTTCTTGCAAGTTGCCACCGTGTTCCAGTGATGAAATCGGCGAAGTTGTGAGACCTTTCACCTAGCTGAGGACGCGCCACGTTGACAGCGGATTCCCGGAGCTCCATCTGTCGGCACTGACAGTGGCGGTAGGTGTGGCCGGCCTCCCCGCAGTGGTAGCATAGCGGGCGGTTGTCAGGTGCGCGCCAAATGGCCGTTTTTCTTGGTGTGTAGCGCAGGCCGAGAGGAGAACGGTAGGGCGTCGGTGGTGGTGGTGGTGGCGGCGTCCGGCGCCGGAAGTTCGTCGGAGCGGCGTCTTGGTCTGGGCCCGGAGGGGGGACGTAGCATCGGGCTGCAGCGGCGTAACTTATTGCTTGCGGCTGAGGCTGCAGTGCTTCGGCAACTCCAAACGATTGTCGAACTTCTTCGTGGACTATGCCGGCAATCGAGTTCACCTGGGGCTCAGGTGAAGGCTGCAGCTTTTGTAGCTCCTCCCGCACGATCTGTCGGATCGTTTCATGTACTTCGTCGGAGGCGAGGGCATGAACAGCGGCGCTTTCTTGCATCAATCGGCTGATCGTACTGCCGGGTACGCATTTCCAGCTTCTTCTCGATTTTTCGTAGCCTTTGAGACAAACATTTGAACTGATTTGGGTGGGTTCCGCTACCCGCTCAGCGAAGAGGTATTACTTTACCCCTCGCATGAGCAAACGGACCTTCTTATTTCTGGTTATGTCAGGATCGGTGAGTCGGAAGAGACGAATCATATCTTCTGCGAAGATTGTGACGCTTTTCATTCGGAAGCCTGTGCCCGTCTTTTCCAGCACAGTAGTGGCCCTTTCTTTTCAGGCGACGCTCGTGAACGCTTTCCGAGGAATGCGCCGCGGTACAGATCCCAGGTTTGAAGCGACTGACTCGTGGTTCTCGAACCAGGTCCTCACCGCGTCTTTCAGGTTAAAGTAAACGCGGCGCAGCTTTTCTTAAGAGTCCGACTGGTTTAAGGCGGCCACTTGGTCATATGCCTCTAGCCAGGTTTCCGCTTTTTCACATGATGACCTGTGGAAGGTCGGTGGCTCTCCCGGCTGCTGCATTACAATGGTAGCGAGCGTTGGCACAGGGGCGGTCATTGTGGTCGCTGTAGTGGTGGTTGCCTTGAGCTTGCGAATGTTATCGGGCGGCCGAGCCCCGTACTCTGGATGTAGCCCTCGCTGCCTGCGGCTAGCTCACTGATCGAGGTTGACTTCTCACGTTCTCTTCACGGTATGGGCTTGGCTCACGGCTGGAGGGCGGCTTTTGGTACATGGGCCGGGAAGCATCTCCAACAGATGTCATAGGGGTTGCGACGTGAACTAAGGGAGCAGACCGCAGGTCAAATATTAAACTGTTTATTTTTGGCTGAGCTTGTGGCCACTTGGAAGAAAAGTCAGATTACAGCAAGACACTGGCACTGATAGCGGTGGGCAGAGACGTCAGCCGTCGATCTACTGACAAGCGGCGAAGCGTGTCAGCATTTATACACTTGCCGTCGAACATTTTAGCGTTACCGCTGGTGGCGACATAGGTTACAGAACAATCTGCAATGTTCGAGAAGCGGGTGTGATCTTAACGAAATGATCTACTACAGCGCCGAAGCTTCTGGAATACTGCAGGCAAGGGTTTTGCTGAGAATTACGTACAGTAATGGGCCGATAACGAAACTTGAGCAAGGAACGTGGCAATATTTTTTATTGTGTCGCTATATTGAATAATGTATGTGCAGTGGACTTATGCTTAGAGACTTGAACCCTACGTGCTCTATGTTATACACCTCTGAAGTAGAAGGAGTTGCCGGCTTGTAATTTATGCGTCAACATCTTCTCACATCACGTCGATAAAAAAAAGCTAAACCTATTTAAAGGTGGCATAAGAGTGTCGTATGGAAGCGGAAAATTCACGATGGTAGAGGTAGCTTCATTAAGAGTCAAGTTCACGTAGATGACACCTCTGGAAGCCAAGGGACGACCAAATAGCTTGTGTAAGAATCCTAGCCTATGCTCTGATTATTCCCGTGACCTTACGGCAGCAGCGTGATGCGTAAGTTTTTTTTTTTTTTTGAACTAAGCACAGGTTGTGCGTAATTTGTAATATAATATCTCGTAGGTCCCCCATCACGTTGTATACAAAATCTGAAGCGAGAAATGCAACCAGATAAGTTGCAGTTCATTGTGTGTTCTAATCGTCACAATAAAGACTTGAATGAATGAACTAACGAATTAATAACTGTTGTAACAGGAAGAATGAGCCGATTGGGATGGTAAAACAATGATGGTGCACAGGATGCGGAAGCAATTCGTAATGGAACTTTGGCCTTTCTAAACTAGCACTGCGCTAAACTCGCATGTGTTTGTCCGCGTCACGTCAACGGATCTGTAGGATCTAAAAAAACGAATGGTTTTGATATGATATGCAATGATCAAATGTTAACAAGAGAAATTATTTGTACTTGTGGTTTCCACTTCCTGTTTTATTCGCCCCCCTACTTTCTTCGCAGGGTGCAATCACATACAACACCATTCAGAACCTGCCCTACATGAACAGCGTCATTCAAGAGACCATGAGGCTATATCCTCCGGCATTCGCGTGAGTTGAAAATGACATAAGTGCAAACGTTTGCTTAATCACTCTGGATTCGAATGCAAATACTTGAACTGGAAGTAGACCCCGACTCTTAATTAATTCATTCATTCTTATCTATCAAATACCCGATTTTACAACCGTTAACATCTTGTCATTCGTATTCATCGCTTGTTAGATTACGTCAACACTGTGTACTTAACTTTGAAGTGTTGAAAAAGCGACGGTTATTATGGCAGCGTTGAAAGGGCCATTTAGCCTCAAAATGTGCAGTGTTGTTACCAAAAATGTGTGGTACAAGGCAGGCCCTCTGAAATTAAGTGCCTATCTTTGTAGTATGTGGCGCTGATACAATAGCCATTAGTTGCAGTATTTTTTGCGTACATACTTAGCTGCTTTGTCGATTGCCTGGTTGATGCTGGTGTACGATATGGGCTTAGATCAGTGAACTGGCTGTTATTTTTAACATCTTTAGTTAATGTATCTTCTAAATAGACTGATTCATTCATTGATCGATATAATAATGCCTGGGGATCTACGTCATGAAATAACGATTCGATTGCTTCCATTATTATTTATATCAGAATTTTCTACCACTTGTTAGTGTAGTTTTATGGAATGATTGATTGACTGCATTTTACACTAATTTATTTTGCTGTTATAGCATCGTCACTCGTGAGGCTGTCGTCGACAAGCAGTACGGCAAGTTTCGCATTCCTGCCGGTACTGCTGTCATGGCTGCAGCAGAGTACATACACAGGGACCCCCGGCACTGGGATAACCCTAACCAGTTCCACCCAGAAAGGTTTGTGCTTAACAATTCACACTATCACTTGAGGTATGTTTGCAGTTTTACAGTTCGACAAAAAGACAGCATTGTTTCTAATTATATATATATATATATATATATATATATATATATATATATATATATATATATATATATATATATATATATATATATATATATATATATTGACGAAGGCCGGTCCCACGGCCGAAACGTAAAGAAACCTTTCCGTTTTTCGACGTGTGTCTTCTTTTTTTCATACTATTTACCGGCGTCCAAGAATTTATTCCCTGCAATTATGCCTACAATGGACACCGGAACGACCACGTCGAAAAGGATCACATGGAAGTACCCGAACACCGCTGTTTCCACAGTAGTTCTAGGCGACTCCCAAACCAAGTATGTCTTCCAGTATTTTGACCCAAATGTGGCGGGCACGCCCGCGTTTGTTTCGCAGTCCGGCGCCCTTATCAAGGATATGGCCATTCTACTGGACTTCGTTCCTCCCACCGCGACAACTCTTGTCATTCATGCTGGTACCAACGACCTGGCGTTCCGCACCGCTCACGCTGCCTTCCAGAGCCTTCGCAAACTGTTAGAAGCCATCCCAAAAGTACACCCTGAAATCAGGAGGATATATGTTAGCTTTGTGTTGCCAAGATCTACTAACCGACGTCGTTTCCGCAACAATCCGTCTTTCGTTGAAAAGTTCAACCTAGAGGCTGACCAGTTCAACAGGCTCCTGCAAGACTTCTGCCGTCACTCTTGGCTCGTTTATTTTCTCGACCATGGCTTCTACGAGCTTCCCCCCACACGCGCCTTGGCGGCTGATGGCTTACACCTCAGTTTCGAGGGAACGGCAATTCTAGCTAGTCACCTGCGTCAACTTTTCATGACGGGGTTCAGCGACTCTGCCTCGTCGTGGCGTACTTGTGCACCGACTGATTTCCGTGCTCCAGCTAAGGAAAACTCTGTGACAACAAATGACGCCGCTCCCGGCCACCTCCCTTCGACACTTGACCTGACCAGCTGGCCCCCATTGAACTGTCCTTCTGTAAATCATCTGTCGGGTTCCGGGAGACCTTCCAGCTCTATTCAGGCAAACAAATACTCATCGAGCTTGCCTACAACTAGTGGTTGCCAGACACGCGGTGCCTCTGCGCATGAGCGGACTAGTGGAGGCAGTAAGGATGAATCTGTACCCAATGGACCAGTCCTTGAATCCTGTCGAACTAATTGCCTCTCGGAGAACGGCTCGTCGGCTTGCCAGCTACCGAGCGTCCATCGTTCACCTTCACAATCTACTACGAAGTCAACCTCGGACGACCACGTTCAGCCGATTCTAGGGTTGTCGAAATCACCCGTGACGTGCAACATTCACTTTCCTCGAGTATCGGACAACCAGCTACCCTCTAGCCAGCCCAACGACACGATCCCTGCAGTAGTACAGTCGACGGTGGACAATTCCCATTTGAACCCGCCATGTCTACAACAGCCGATGCCTACTACGTCCAAAACTGTCAGTGTTTCGACTTCTGGTGCCCCTACTGCTCAAGCCTCCTGCTACTTACTGCGAACTCGTCGCACCGATGGCCCTCTAAAAAGCAAGGCCCAGTGACTACCATCTACACGTCCTGGTAAAAATTCTTCCGACTACTCTGTATCAAAAATATTCTTAAAATTCGCAAAGTGATAGAAAAGCGGATTCGGTGTGAATTGCATATCTCTACGTTAAAAACTTATTTAGAAGCTAACATTGTACCTAAAGGCCTCCGCATTGTCATTAAACCCGCCACAACTAGCATGTCTGGTTCTGAGGTTGTCGCGTGGAACGAGGTGCTCTCTAGAGCTTCTTTTGACTTGGTGCGCATTGTCATTCGCCATTACGAAACATCGCTCAAAGCCATTCGTAACCAAGAAAGCCAATTGCTTTCCCATCATAAACTCGCCATCCATGAATGCGCGCTGCTGGCAGCATACCAGCGAAAAAAATCTGATGAAGTATATGCAGCTAAAAGAAAAAAGCTTGTCAGGGACAAAGTTATTACGCCTCATACTCCCCCGATAAGGCATACCGCTGAAATTTCTTCGAAATCCATTAGCTCCAGACCTCTAAGTGACCCCCTATCATCACGTAACGTAGTCAACATGTCTTCCTATGAACTTTCCGCTGATGAAATTTCACTATTGTCACGAGGACTCAATTTTTGCCCAGTGACAGGAGGTTTTAGTGAATTCAAGCTGATGAAGGATTTGGACACTTTTGCCAGAAATTTAAGACTGAGAGAATACTTCCTTGACAAAAGCTCTGCTAATGCTCCTACCTCTATTTTGCCATCTCACAATCATTGGACCCCACCTACCCAACGAGATAAGTACCTAGACCTCTATATCTCAGCCGTTCAACGCGATGTGCTACATATTTACCGCAAGCAGGTTCCGTTTAAGAGAAACCTTTCGATCAACGAAACCGCAGCGATGCAGCAACTGAAAGGTCGAGGTGATATCATAATTAAACGAGCTGATAAAGGGGGAGCTGTCGTACTGCTAAACAAACACGATTATGACAGCGAAGCTTCCAGACAGCTTTCCAACAGCACTTTTTACAGGCGGTTAGACGAAGACCCCACTGAGCAGCTCAAATCTATCCTTATACGCACGCTAACTAACCTCATTGAAAAACAAGAAATTCCCAATTCGGCTCTGCATACCCTCGTTCCACTAAGTCCAGTCGCGGGTCGCTTTTACCTCCTTCCAAAAATACATAAGTCGGGAAACCCTGGTCGACCCATCGTTTCCGGCATTGGTACAGTTACGGAACTGGTCTCCCAATTTGTAGATAGAGTAATTAACGGAATTCCGTCTTCTTTTCCATCGTATATCAAAGACACAAACCACTTCTTGTCCGACATCGTTGACCTCTTTGTCCCCCCTGATTCACTCCTCGTTACCCTTGACGTAGCGTCCCTATATACGAACATTCCTCATGCGGATGGAATACGAGCAGTACTTCACTCATACGAGTCTGTCTGTGACAAAATAATTGACAGCTCGACTTTGATGACGCTTTTAAAATTCATCTTGGAATCTAACAACTTTGAGTTTGACGGTACCCATTACCTTCAAGTTAATGGCACCTCGATGGGCACACCCATAGGCCCTAATTATGCCAATATTTTCATGGGCATACTCGAAAACGAATTTCTGACAAGCCGTTCACTTAAACCATTGTACTACAAAAGGTACATTGACGATATATTCATGATTTGGCAGCACGGTGAACCTCATCTCTTATCATTCATTCACGATTTCAACAACGCTCATCCGTCCATTTCATTCTCTCATACCTACTCAGGACAAACTATCAACTTTCTTGACGTAACAGTGACAATGTGTGACGGCAAGCTTGCCACTAAAGTTTACAGAAAGCCAACTGATACTCAACAGTACCTTCATTTTAATAGCAACCATGTCAAGCACTCTAAAACCAGCATACCCTATAGCCAGGCCCTTCGTTTTAAAAGAATATGCTCCCAAGAAACTGATTTTAATTCCAATTGTGCGCAGCTTCGGAATGCGTTATCAAAACAGAAATACCCTTCCAAGATTATAGATGACGCCATAATAAGTGCAAGTAACCAGGACCGCAAAACGCTTTTAAGCACCAAGAATAAACAGCCAGTCCTCTCCGGCACTAACCTTGTTCTAACATTTTCCGCGCCTGCGCAACACGTAAATGCCATTTTAAGAAAGCACCATAACATACTTCTACAAAGCGAACGACTTAAATCAATTTTCCCAGAACCACCGCGTGTGACGTACAGAAGAGCGCAAAATCTGGGTGACCTACTCATGTCGTCAAAAAGCGTACGCAGTAAACCTACTGGCTGCCGTCCTTGCAACAAACCTCGTTGCAAAGTCTGCCAGCATATGACCACTTCACTTATCGCAAACAGCACCGCATCTAACTTCAGCGTGAAAATAAATGGTGACTATAACTGCGACACGCGTAATGTAGTTTACCTCCTGGAATGCTTGATCTGTGGAATGCAGTACTTAGGCGAAACCGAAACACCCTTCCGATATCGGTTTAACAATCACAAGGCTCATATCTCTTCACTTCCTCACCTTCCAATATCAAAGCATGCTAACGCAATGGGCCACTCATTTGACAACATTAGAGCCACGATTCTGGAGTCTGGCTTCCGAACGCATCATGACAGGGAAGTGCGCGAATCATTTCTCATCTTTAAGTTCAATACAATCGCAGGCGGGTTAAATGAAAGTACGGGGAAACTGAGCGTCTTGCACCAGTGACCGCTGTAGATGTTACTGCTTGTACCAGCTGTAATCCTTGTGCACGTGTCGTGACTTGTTATTTGATTGCTTATAAGTAGGATGTCATACGGGGGCCCCCATGTAGATTTTATGTCTGATTGTTGTACTTGTTTTATGATGTTTGCACACTCGTGACTATTGCAAGCGAAAACGTATGCGTTATATGCTGTTGCACCACTGTTACATCTGTTATTCTGACGAAGGCCGGTCCCACGGCCGAAACGTAAAGAAACCTTTCCGTTTTTCGACGTGTGTCTTCTTTTTTTCATATATATATATATATATATATATATATATATATATATATATATATATATATATATATATATATATATATATATATATATATATATATATATATATATATATATATATAGTGAAGAATAAAGGAGCACACTTACGAAAATTTGATAATTGTTTACTCTACGTTTCGACCGTGGCACGGCCTTCGTCAGGATACCGAAGGCCGTGCCACGGCCGAAACGTAGAGTAAACAATTATCAAATTTTCGTAAGTGTGCTCCTTTATTCTTCACTATATTTGCACCGGACCCACAGAATTTCTTTTATATATATATATATATATATATATATATATATATATATATATATATATATATATATATATATATATATATATATATAATGTATATATATATGTTGCCGAGAATTTACTAAGTTTAGTACTTCTCAACGACAGCGTGTACCTCAACCTCCAGCGCTTCTGTATTCGATTTTCTGTCACGGAGGTCATCAACGAAAACGCTATGCTGTCAAACAATGGTCCAGACTTTGTCAAAGTCTGGTCAACCAGGCGAAACGTTTGTGAAAATATACAGTGCCAAACCAACCAAAGTCTTTATTCCGTATTTCTTATTCTATCGGGGGTCCGCGTGACTTGTTTCCCACTACTATATATATATATATATATATATATATATATATATATATATATATATATATATATATATATATATATATATATATATATATATATATATATATATATGTGTGTGTGTGAAATCCAGCAGACAATACTGCCAAGAAAATTACAGGGGAGGTTATTGGACCTAATTGTAAGGTAAATGTGAAAAAGAAAAGTGGGTGAAACGATAACTTGCCGTGGGCAGGAACCGAACCTGCGACCTTCGAGTGACGCTATTCGAAGGTCGCAGGTTTTGTTCCTGCCCACGGCAAGTTATCTTTTCACCCACTTTTTTTTCACATTTACCTTACGATTAGGTCCAATAACCTCCCCTATAAATTCCTTGGCATTATTGTCTGTTAGATTTCATTACCATCGTGTCAAAACACGGAAAAATGAGCCCTTAGGTATCGAATTATTTCCCTTATATATATATATATATATATATATATATATATATATATATATATATATATATATATATATATATATATATATATGGCACATCCTGACCTCTAGTTCTCACTGAGCGATTAAAGCCCGGGGTAACATTGTGATTATTGCGACCAATGTCCCGGTACTGCTCAGTTCCAGTACAACCCCGATCTTCAGGCCGAGTTGCACTATGTTAAAAAAGTGTCATATTATAACTGCAAAAAATGTACTACTTCTTAGTTACAAGGTTGTTAGGAGCTCGCGTATTGTGACGTACGCAGAAAACATTGCACGTCAGCTAGATTTTCGTAGTCAATGGGCTCTCGAAAAAAAAAAAAACTGATACAGAACTTCTTGTTGCTAGAATTACCATACAACAACAATGCCACTCTATTTTTTTTTCTTTTGAACGCTTGCGACGTATTCCACGGCACATTCTTGCGAAGGAAGAACGCTTCTTTTTTCGAAAGTCTGCGTAATTAGCGTTGGTTTAGGTTGCAAGCCACAAAGCAGTCACAAAGCATAGTTGAGGAAATTTTAACCTCGGGTTTTTCAATAAGGAGGGCTCGCAGCCATCTTCGATTACGTGCTTGTACTCTTTCTTTTGTACCATAAATGAGAGAAGCACTAACAACTAGTCAATTTCTAGACTACGATATATATGCGACAGTTCTCCACCCCATTGCTAAATTTCCTTGAAATGTCTATTAGAGGCTCTAGAAATACTGTTTCTGCCTACAGATTCCTGCCAGAGAACAAGTCGAAGATCAACACCATGGCCATGCAGGCCTTCGGAAACGGCCCTCGAAACTGCATAGGCATGCGCTTCGCACACATGGAGCTGCGGTATACATTTGCTCACATACTGCAGAAATACCGGCTCGAGAAGACTGAAAACAGCGAGAAGGTAAGATGGGAAAATCGATTACAAACGAATACCTGCATATGGTATATTCCTCATTGCCGAACACTGATATCTCTTGAGGGAGATCACACAAAATTATAGGTATCGAAATTGATGGGGAGGGGGGGGGGACGCCAGATATGCACCAAGATAACTTTAGGTGCGCGAAGGCTGATTGTATCTGTATTCATTACCAGTGTCAGGCCACACGTTAACAATTAAGTCATATACACTAGGCACCGTTGAAGTTTCATTCGCGTGACTTTAGAAGGCTAAGGAGAGAGGGAATGTCATGCGAGGTACCGAACATTGTGGCTCATGAAGAGCAAAAGCCACAGTAGTGTCCACTTTAGGTACAGGAATCACCCTGTAATTGTCTTTTTATTCATTTGCTAATTACTAGTGTATGACACCATGTTAGTGACGTAGTTGTACCAGCTATAGGTACCATTTCAGCTTCATTAGCGCCACTTGAGAATTTGGGGGAAAGACATAATATCACGTGAGGTGCAGACCATTGAGACCCACGAAGAGCTTAGACCACAGCGGTGGCCAAATGGTAGAGAGTTCTCCTTCCGTGCGAGAGGCACTGGATGCGATCATCAGAGTCACTTCGCAGTCTGAGTACGATTACCGGAGTCGAAGTTTTCAGACTTCGCGGCGTCTTTTTTGTGCTCTTTTCGGCCTTTTACACCCCTTCTCGTCTTCTCTGAATTGATCCTCGACCACCAGTTAACAAGATGAGGGCACTTCGACCACATGGTGCACTGTAATGAATTGGTTAATCTCCATGTGGTTAACCTCCACTGTCTTGGCTACTTTCTTTTGATGGCGTGGTACTCTGCATGCGACACCCCAGTATCGAACCTCATTTGGCCCCAACTTTCGTTGCCTCACCTTCTTGCTTCGTCGTACATTGTTAAAGTAGGCTGTCTTTATTTCAAGCAATAAACATTCATGTAGACAAGAAGAAATTTTATGTTCTATAAAGATGGGCGCATATCAAGGAAAAAGAATTATTCAATGAGAGTTTTGTAATCTTGTATCTCACAGAAATAGGAGAAATAGCTTTTGGTCTGGAGTGAATGTCAGTGTCTATGACGCGTACAAAGAGGAGTATCCTGGGGGTTGAGCTGATGTTGGGTGCTTGGACCTTTAAGGCCCCCCGGCAGAAGTAACACACCCCTTTGACCCCGACTTCACGTAAACGACACCCCTGGGCTGATCCACCCAGGGGAAATCGGCAGTCACCTTTTCCTGCCTCTCCTCCCACATCTTCGTCTTTTTCTCATACTTTTATCTTTCCTGTCTTCTCCTGACTTCTGTTTACTTCCGATATTCATGGAGGCAAGGGTTAACCTTGTGTACGTATCCCACCTTGGATAATTACATTGGATTATAGTGACAGCGTACCGCTGCCGTCGGGAGGACTTGTTCAAGAAGTCCAACCGCGTCCCCTTGTTGGGCTCGGTGGTCAGTGGTCGCCGCTGTTACCGAACACATTCATACTTCTATGGCTTCACAAGCATCCGGCGCCCTTGATCGGTCTCGTAAGAGAGGCCGCACCGAAGCAAGTTTTCACTTCTCGACAGAAGCTAAAGTTACTTTCGCGAAGTACCACATTATCCACAGTGAAAGCACACCTCTGAGAAAACTATCCCCATTTTTGTGGCCAAGTGCCTAAAAGAAAAATAGGCCCCTATACAAAGCATCCAAAATGTCAAGCGGTGACCTCCTTTTGGAGCTAACCGAAAAAGACCAAGTGCCTAAGCTATATATACCAACTGACCAGCATTGGAGAAACAGCTGTCACCGTTTCGGTCCGTCGCTCTCTAAACACCAGCAGGGCAGTAATCTCTGAGGAAGTCTTCTTAGGCCTTAATGACGAAGAGCTACTCGAAAGATTGCAAGACCAAAATGTCATAAAAGTTTAAAGAATATTAATCCGTCGCAATAATCAGGAAGTGCCCACCAAAAACGTATACTAACCTTTGGAACAAGTGAAATGCCCACCTCTCTTAAGGCGGGGTACATAAAAATCAACGTCAGACCCTACATTCCCAACCTTACACGCTGTTTCAAATGCCAAAGATTCGGACACGCCTCGCACTCATGCAGAGGCAAAGAAACATGCGCAAACGACGACAAGTCGGAAAACTGCTCATCCTCACCCCACTGTGTTAACTGTGACGGCGAACACCCAGCGTATTTCCGGTCATGCCCATGTTGGAAAAAAGAAAAAGAAGTGATCGCTCTGACCGTCAAAGAAAAAATATCATTCAGCGAAGCGCGAAAACGGCTATCGTACCTTTTCCACAGAAGTCACGCCGATGTGACGCAGTTGGGGCCAGCGTCACAAAGGCCTCAGGAGTCCACCGCTACCACATCCACTGGTCCTGTGGCGACTCAAACCACCCCCTTAAAGGAAGCAGCGCCAGCTGCTCCATCCACATCTAAGGGCCCGCAGATTCCGGTCTCCCTGGGCCCTGAACTCAATCGAGTGCCAAGGCCTGAGATCCGTTTCTCAGCGCCTCACTCTCGATCTGCCAGCGCCTCATACAAGGCAATGGAGATCAACCACAAAACTCCGGTGTCATCGACACCGAAGGACAAACGCTCTCTCGAGCGCGCTAAACAGGACAAGGACAAAGTCCCAGTAACCACAATAAGTAAGCGATAACCGTAATGGTTATTGTAATTTTCTTTAGTTCTATTTCTTAGTATTGTCACCTATCATATTTTACTCAAACCGATCAATCCACAGAAGTGCATTTACTTAATTGTATTCCACCATGGCTTTTATCGTACATTGGAACTGTAAAGGCTTAATTCATAACTTAGGTGACATAAAGGACGTCATCAACAAATTCTCACCAGTAGCCTTTTGCCTCCAAGAGACAAATTTTGGTGCAAAACACGACCATTTCCTAAAGGGCTTCAAAGTGGCCCGAAAGGACCGCGAATATTGCAACCGTTTTCCAGGAAAAGTAGCCGTAGTCGTGCAGAGCAGCACTCCTACGTGAGATGTCCAAATAAACACATCTTTTGAGGTCGTAGCCGTCACCATCCTATCGTACAAAACCATCACCATCTGCTCACTGTATATTCCATCTCACACCATTTTCACCACCAAAAACCTAGAAAATCTAGTGAAACAGTTGCCGAAACCATTCATTTTAGTTGGGGATATTAATGCTCATTCAACCCTTTTGGGTAGTGACAAAACTGATGCAAGAGGGCAAGCCATAGAAGACTTAATTTTATCAAATGACATCTACCTCCTTAATTCCGAAGCTTTTACCTACTTTTCACCAACCTCACGCATTTTTAGTTGCTTAGATCTTGCCCTGTGTTCACCGTGTATTTTTAACGATTTTAAATGGGACGTCGTCAACACGTCTTATGGGAGTGATCATCAACCCGGCATCATAAAACTCATACCATCCTACCCAAGTTTAACAAGCAAGCCACGCTGGTGGAAACTGCAGCTCGCGAACTGGCCAGTTTTCACAGAAAATGCTAAGCTCGATGAAGTTTTCTCATCGGAGATTTCTTTTGGGGAACTGAACGAAGTGTTCGTCAGAGTTTTAATCTTAGCAGCAGAAAAGGCAATACCGCAATCATCCGGCATCATACGCAAGAAACTCAGCCCTTTGTGGGCAAACCAGTGTACTGATGCCAAAAAAACAACAAAATAAGGCCTGAGGAGTTCTGCGAAGATACCCCACCTACACCAACCTCATCAACTTCAAGCAGGCAAAAGCCAGCGCCCGATTTATTTGAAGACAGACACAAAAGGATTCATGGCAAAAATACATATCATCAATTACCAGTTCAGTCACATCTAAACACATCTGGGACCAGGTGAGGAAGTTCAAAGGAGAGTACTCCTCCTACACAATACTACTGCTTACAAGTCCAGACACACAATCAACACTAGAAGACCAGGCCAACCTACTAGAAGAACACTTTTGCAAGGTATCATGCTCAGCAAATTACATCAATGCATTCCTTAAATATAAAGAAAATGTAGAAAGACAAAGACTGCCTACTATCAGTACCTCAAATGAAAGTTATAACCTTCCGCTTACGCTTCTCGAATTAAACAGGGTACTTTCCGCCGGTAAAAAAACGGCAACAGGGTCTGACCAGATACACTACACAATGTTGGCACACCTATCCCAAGCATCCGCGGAGGCACTTCTCCAATTCTTTAACAAAATATGGGACTCTGGCATAACGCCTGAATATTGAAAAAAAAGTCATAGTTTTACCATTCCTTAAACCTGGTAAACCCCCCAACAACCCCTAGTAGCTACAGGCCCATTGCATTAACAAGTTGCCCAGCAAAAACTTACGAAAGCATCATAAATATTAGACTTACCTTCACTCTGGAATCGCAGCACCTAATAGACGCACACCAGTGCGGATACAAAAAGGGCTGTTCCACCACTGATCACCTTGTTAGGCTGGAACAAGAAATACGACAAGCATTTCTGCACAAAAAGTTCAGTCTCTCGGTCTTTTTTGACTTAGAGAAAGCATATGACACAACTTGGAGATATGGAATTCTCAGAGATCTAGCTAACTTAGGGATTCGCGGAAAAATGCTGAACTGCTTATACGATTTTCTATCGAATAGAACTTTTAAGTACGTTTGGGTACAGTACTATCACGAATATTCGTCCAAGAAAATGGTGTACCACAGGGCTGCGTTTCGAGCACCACCTTGTTTATAGTCAAAATGAACTCCATTAACAGGGCTATACTCCGTACAGTCATGCACTCCATCTACGTTGACGATCTCCAAATCGCATGCCGTGCCTCCAGCCTATCATCCCGCGAAAGGCAACTCCAAATTACAATAAATCGGATTATGAAATGGGCTGACCAAAATGGTTTCCGCTTTTCAACCCAAAAAACCACGGCTGTTCTCTTACCCGCGCTCAAATTATATAACATCATCATGCCGGTAAAACAAGAACACAAACTTCTAGGAATCACATTCGACCGAAAACTTAACTTTCTGGCACACATAAACGCACTGAAAACCAAGGCAAACAGAGCGCTCAACGTGCTCAAAGTTCTCTCCCATAAGCACTGGGGTTCCGATCGACTCTGCCTTATACGTATTTAATGATCTCTTGTACGCAGCATTTTAGACTACGGATGCGTAGTCTACGACTCGGCGCGAAACTCATACATCCGCCGTCTTGACCCTTTACACAACCTCGGTCTCCGTCTGTCCAGTAGTGCTTACAGAACATCACCTGTGCGAAGTCTACACGTAGAATGCAATGAGCCCCCTCTATGTGATCGAAGAGCATTACTAACCTTGTCATATGTCTTAAGAATAAGGTCGTCACCTGAACACATCTGCTATGAAATTGCCGCAAAGAGTGACTCACGCTCAAACTATCTCAACAAACCGAACCTCATCAAACTACTTGTCCTACGTTTTGAGGAATACTGCCGCTTTTATACCATCCCTGAAGGATCACTATGTCGCTATTGAACCACCAAGACTGCCGCCATGGTTCGACCTGTCGCAGCTATGCGAATTTTCACTAAGCTGTTTTAACAAAAAAAAAAGCACCCCACCAGAACACATTATCTAAGAATTTTATACACTTCAGCACGAATATAGGGATTAGGGAGAATTTTACACAGATGGCTCAAAAGCAGAAAACCACGTGGGTATCGTGATCGCGACGACGAAAAGCGCAATTTCTGTGAAAGTACCTTGTAGTTTCTCCATTTTTTTTTCAGCTGAAGCTTATCTCTTGAGTGAAGCAGTTCGGAAAATCATCGCTGAAAAATACAAGAAAGCAATCATATACACCGACTCACTAAGCACACTGAAAGCACTACATATAAAATCCGAATGTGAGCCAATGGTGGGCGACATTTTAAACATGGTATACTTAAACAGCCAGGCAGGCTCCGTCCGTTTCTGCTGGGTCCCAAGTCATGTTGAGATACCCGGAAATGAAAAAGCAGATAAGTATGCTTCCCAGGCAGCCCATAAAACTGTAACAAAAGTGAAAATTCTCCTTAAAGATATCCAGAGAACAATTCGCTTGGCTCTACTAGCAAAAGGGCAACAACAATGGGACACCTGCACGAACAATAAGCTCCACCTGGTGAAACCCATACTCGGGGAAGGGAAGACCTGCCGTCACCAACAACGGTTTATCAAAGTTGTATTATGTCGACTTCACATCGGACACACACACTTGACACGAAACTTCTTACTCGCCAAGAACAACCAACGTGTGAAAAATGCCAAGAAGCGTTAACACTTATGCACATCCTAATCCCATGTCCTACCATTGAAACACAGAGACAAAAACATTTCAGCAAGCTATTCAAACAACACGTACCTTTACACCCTGCTTTGTTCTTAGGAGATGACCCTCTAGTACCTCTGCCTGACGTGCTAAACTTTCTGAAAGAATGTAATCTGTTAAATAAGCTTTAAAATTTCATCTTTTCAGTGTCCATTCCTGAAAGTCTTGTGTGGCGCAGCATAACCTTAGCTGCTTTTGCGCCATAAAACCAAATTACCCTAACCTATACCTTTAAAAGATGAGAATATGATAAAACCACGCCTTCAGTCATGATTATAAACCTTCCTAATGTTGACGAACGCCTGAGATGCACCTTATAACCATAGACTTAGAAAAGAAAATCGTGTACCTAGAACATTTTTCTTGAACCTAGCCAAGTAACCTCGACTAACTCACGCCTATTGGGGATCATATAAAGTTGTTTCGCTCACCGAGCCATGACTCAGTGACTTAAGGCATGCACACTCGCTAGACGCACAGCCGCACCGCACCTGGTGGGACATCTGTCGCCCGCAAGCGGAGGGCGAAAGAGCGTCGCCGATTCTCCCCAAAGGCAGCATGCCTTTGGTACCGCACTTTGATCTAAAGGCTGTGGTCTCCCGTGCCGGCGCACTTATTTGAGGTACGTTTAACCAGCGCCTCCTCTGTTTTATCAATGCGAGCCAGATGTGCCCTATCCAGCCGTTCCCCACCCTCTCCTCTAGCCCTTCCGTGCTCTCGCCCATCGCGTAGGCTTTGCGTGTGCTTTGCGGCCATGGGGAACAGAGCTCCCCGTGCAGTGCCTTGCAAAGGGAATAATATTAAGTAATTTTTTGTAGGTTGTGTGCAGATCCGTGGGGCGGCGTCTTGCATTCCTCATCATGAAAACGTTAGCGGTTGCGGTGTCTCTGTAAAAGATGCGGTGCTTTGAGATTGCGTGTCACCGTGCGTGGCGCTATGCCAGTGGGGACGCGTCATGATGATGCCGCTGCATTCGAGGTGGTGGTGGCATTGCTTCCAGCCGCAAAGGAGCATGAAGGAACAAGTCTGACAGACGTATGATACCGGAGAGGGACACACGTCTATATTGCGTCTCCGTGAGAAAGTGCTCGGAAGCACGTGTGATGCAAGCAGCCCTACCTCTCGTGCGCATGCAATTTCCCAATATGCACTAGGGGGAACTCTGGCGCTAGTGGCTATGGGAGCTGCAACGCACGGCGCTTCAGTGAGCATGGTGTTGCGAACTGGGGTCTACCCGACGCTTCTCTGCTGACGTGGTTAGCAGAGACGTCAGGGTTACGTCAGACCCGGTCTCTTGTGGTAGCGTGGCGCAACTTCGGGGGAGGAAACAAACGCAGACAAGGTGGGGGAAAACAAACAGGTTTATGGCACTATTTACACTTATTTGCAGCGTAGAGAGGTTAGAAATTTCTCAAATCACGAGCGCGGTGATTGAACCGTTAAAAAACCATGGTTCAGAGCAACGTCCAGCACTTCGCAGCTTCGCTATAAACGCTGTCGGGCTCCTCCTCCTTGATTGGAACACCCATCACACACACAAGACACTACCCACAGGGCATCAGTCAGTAACACACGGTCCTCCGAATAGTTATTGCACATCTTGACGCAATGCTCCTCCTGTCCGAGTTTCACTGAGGAGAAGGGAAATGGGGTTCCTTCCCGGAACAACTTGGCGGTGTGGTTGCTTCTTTCGCCTTTCCTTGGAAGGGCAGTCAAGCAGTAGATACTTCAACCGCGTAGACACCACCTGCGGTCGGTCTGCTTCACCGTCTCCGCAAACAAGCTAGCCTGGAGGAAATGCTTGTAGGGCTCACGGACTGCCTTCTGATCCTTTTGTCGCTCCCCGCCGCTGGACGCTGGTTCCGAGAGAACTGGGGTTCCGGGCATGAGAGCGCTGCCCGGCTACGCTTCTCATAGCCAGCCTGACGCCCACGGACGCGAGTCACAACAATGAGAATAATGACAGATTTTTCTAATCTTCGCACCTCTGGCCTGCTTCTAGCTCCGTGTGTGTTCGTGTGGCTTGGAGCTGTTTTCTCACGAAACAAAAATCAACAAATGTTCAGCGATTGCGCTTCACCACCTTATTCTTTTAGGCTTACCATTACAAATCAGGTCACGAAATTGAAAAGAATTCGTTTTTTATTTCAAAACGAAACTGAAATCAGCAATAAACAAAGCCGCAAGTGCGATTCGCCACCTGCAAGTACGAAGACTATAGGCAAATTTGTGTACTACCCATCATTCCCATGATTGCTGAACGATCGCAGCACCAGAGTACCCTGTTAGTAATCTTAAGAAACTATTTGCTCATGGAGCGTTGCATCACGACCACTCTCTGAACTAAGTCAGACCGACGGCTCCTGTTGAAGACAGCGCATTGAATAAAATAAAAGGGGCGTTTGTACTACACATGTCTTATGAAAGGTAACGAAGACAACCACCCGTTCGTAGCACAAAGCCACGAGGTGGTGGCTTTGTGTGGCCCTTTTATAAACCTTCTGCCACCTTGTGGGTTTCCGCAGAACTCATTTGCAGATGTCTTATAACTTTGGTTGTATTTTGCTTTCACAACAACGTTTGCGTTCTGTTTATAGACCGCTCGAAGGTTACGTCGGTTGCTGCAGCGGCCGTATCTGCAGAACGAGTTTGTCTTCATATGGCATTACAATTAGTTACTATCGCGTTCATGGCTGAGCCATTGCGGTGAAACTGGCACGTTTATGAGGTCATTTACATATCATTATTCGCGTATGAGCAAAATGCTGGCATTTCGTATTGTTGCAACCACGAAATTGGGGAATTCGTCTAAGCTCAGTCGACAATATATTGTTTTCTACTAATGCTGCAAGGTCGTTCGTGAGCAACCGCAATGTAATTAGAATGCTACGACCTAGCAGGTTGGTGTATACAGCAGCTTAGCATATTTACCAAACATTTGCATTCTTTATTTTGCCTAGAATATCGACATTATTTTGTTCTTCCTACGTTCACATAACGTGTAAAGTTAATTTTGTTTGGTAACACGGACCTTTCACCGTTCTTATGAGTAAGGACGTATCTTGAAAATGTTACGTGTGACTTCAGGCGCACTAAGTCACGCTTGCTCCTGTCGCTGCGTGTTTTTACTTGTCTTTCATGCGTGAATGCTTTAGTTGAGTTCCGTTCATACATCCACATGGAACGTACACAAAAGAACACGTAGATGTGGTCAGCTGTGGGATAAATTATTTTTCTTGTTAATTTTGTTCTAAAGTCGTTTTAGGTATATTCTTTTGGGCAAATGAACGTTGTGCTCAATAGTAAAATGGGCTGTGGCCTCTTTGAACCTCTCACGTCTGACCGGATTTAACTTCACTTACTTATTACAATTGATGAAACGATTGCTTTCTTTCAAATAAAAAAAGTATTTCTCCATTGCAGGATCCACCGAACATCGATATGAACCCCCTCATACTGAAGATCAAGAAAGGCGTCATAGTCAGGGCGGTACCGCTACAAAGCCACGGTGCCGCGGAGGAGTGACATACACCGGAGAATTCTATGCACGCAAATAGTGATGCGTTGATAAGCTTTTGGGGGCGCAGCTATTTATTCGGGAGCAAAGTGAAACGACACCGGTGCACTATGAGTATTCAACGAGACCCCCCGATAGGTAGAAAAGTGATCACGCGTCGTAATTGAACAAACGAAGGTTTGCCTTTCACAAGCCGAAATAGCGTCGCATATTACCCGTTGCAGCAGCGTATATTCTCCAGTGTTATTATCCACAAGACCTTATCTGTCTGGCGTAGCGGCATATATGCCTGCTGATAAAAGGCAGGAAGGAATATCAAGGTGAATCTTCGAGGGGAACTCATGCGGCATTGTTACTTACTTTGCTTAGAAACTTACTAAGCCGACCTAAATAGTCTGATTGGATGGTGAAACTACAGCGCAATGAAAGAAGGAGTGTTGTTTGGGCGCTGGTTCCCTACCCTTGTATAAATACGTGACGGCAATGTAGATATTTTCACGCCAAACTATAAGTAGGCGTTACCTTTTTTTATTGGTCGCACGTTATTATAGCCATAACCAAGCCGCTTTTGCCAATTAAATGAAAGTAGTACTGACCTATTGCGAGTTTTAGGCTTTGAATATACTACTTAGCTAGTAGTTTATAGTGTGCTGTTTTGTAGTACAGCGCTTGCTGAGCCAATAAAGTTTACTTTAAGTGGTGCATGAGAGTTTGTGTTACTTAATTTTTTATATATGGTAATATTGATCGGACGATTTGTGTATCAACCAGCGTAGTATACATTGCCATCGAGACACGTACAGTAACTAGGCTCGGTTCAACCGGGTTTGAGTTAGCTTTCTAGCTACTTCAACAATAGCAGTAATAAAAGAACGGTGGGGCCTACGCTGTGTAGGGGGTTATGACGAACCCCTCAGCGGATATCTTGGGAGGGAATTTACAACAAATGTTTCCCAACAGGCATATCTGTGATGATGGTGGTGAAGTCAGTTCATGATGCGAGTTGTTTTAATGTGAAATTGTTGAGTTGTTTTAATGCGAGAAACGTCGATAACCTCTTCGCTGTTCATGGAGAGACTCGAAGCAATCATTCAAACACAGATCCATCTTCATAGGACCACTGAGTTGCCCTCACTGCTCTGATAAGTTCACCATGGATATTCCTTTCACGGCTGAACCTCTATATCGTCTTGGTGCGTATTCAAGGAAAGAAAGGGGGAAAAAGACCTGGCCTTGAAAACCAACCCAAAGTACCCTCCCTCCCCCCCTTCACTCGGTCCACACACACACCTCAACTTACAATCAGGTTTGGCTCACGGACATAAAAATTAAAAAAAACGAAACGTGCAAGTTATTAGTTTAAACCATTTTGTCCAAGAGCATAATATCTAACCAGCCACTGTCCGAGGTGTGTTTCAAAAACATTCTTAACGATTCAGTGTACCTGGTACTCTACAATGGGAGAGCAAAAAGCCGTCCCGTGAGCCCCACCCACACTGACAAACTCTGAATGAAGCCTAAGTTCCGTGTGGTAGGAGGAATCATCGTAATGCCATCATCAATCATTCGACTCAGTGGCTGCTGTACCCATTCACTACTTTATTGTCATGATCATCATGTTTCATTTTCCCCCAAGGTGACCAACTTTGATAATTTCAAAGGAAGACTGCAAACGTATTATTAGCGAGGACGTACGATTGCGGAGACCCACCATAAATATTATAGCGAAGGCCATCGTTATCGTCATGGCACACGTGTTATCACGGAAAACAAAAAAGACAATATAAAAGTCATCGTGATGGGAAAGTTAGAAGAATGCGGTGCTTCGTCAGCGTGCCTGCCCAAGTCGACTGTTTTCTCATTTTCCTTAACGGCAATGCAGCAAATCGAGAAGTGATGGTTGGTGCATTAACATATATACCATTGCAGTCTGGCACTATGTGACTTGCGTGGTTTCTGAAACAGCATCGCAAATGGTCAAGCATGGCATGGAGGCCCCAGGGACGGATTTATGCTCTCCCATATTAGAGTACAAACTACTCCAAATCGTGAACTTTTTTTTTCTAACACAGAAGCAGCACACAAGACAAGACACGTGCTCTACGTGGGCGGCTGCGTGCGTCTGCAATGTCGGAAGAGCTCGCTCCTCGAGAACCTTATCGCGAGCTGCCCGCCGTGTAAGACAGCGAATTCTTCAAGGCGGGCACTTGAGTGCGAGTGCATGCGCCCTTTGTTGCACTGGTCACACTGCAACCACATCAACAACCAGGTTGCCTTTTTTTTTATAACATTTTCACTATAGGAGTCGTAGAAGTTTGATGGCGGAGGTGCCAACTGCGAACCGATGGCGACAGCAGGGCACAGTCCTTCTTTGTCAACTACGCTAGAGCTGGAATAGAGGCACTTACATTTCTTGCTGCATCGCACTGATTGCAACCTTACGCCTACAGAAAGTTCAAATCTAAGTGATGATAAAAGGTCCGCGTGCAGTCATCATCGTCCCACACAAAAAGAAATTGCAAAGACGCTCCATCCAGTTTATTATCGTGACGTCAATCCCTTCAGAGAGCTTAAGATGGTCGCACTTAGCAACACAGATACTCGTTTGTGTCGCTCCTTTTATATAGATCAAAGGACGAAAGGAGAATTATGAACTCATATTCCTTCGTGGAGTCCATCGCGGTGGCGTAGCGGTTACAACTCGGCTTCTGACCTGAGAGCCACGGGTTGAATTCCGGCTACGACAGTCGCAATACAATGGAGGTGAAATGCTAGAGACCTGTGTACAGTGTGAGGTCAGTGCATTTTAAATAACTCCAAAATGTCAAAATATACATAGCCCTTCTCTACGGCGTCATCATACCATGAATTCGGGACGTGCAACGCCATATATTATTATATATGTCTTTGTTAGACGCAAACTAAATTAGAACCTACCGAAAGACCAAGCCATAGCAAGAGACATTATTTGTAGTAGTTGCAATATAAAGTTAATTAAATTGAAACAGACTAAAAAACAGCTTGCCATCGGCGCGACCGAACGGTGAGTGTGGAACATTCTACACTGTCCGTCATGTTTCCCTACTCACCGTCGAGTGTACGAGTGGCGCTGACAAACTCTCTCACGTTTAAATGGCATAAATCCCCAATACAGAGTAGACGAGCGCTGCCGTAGATCAATTGGTAGAGCAATGACCTCGTCATTCGATTGTGGCAGGTTCGCTTCCTGCCGGCGTTCAGTTACCATTTGGTCCACTTCAATTTCTTCACATCACAGCCCCTACAAATAACATTTCCTATGCTTTTCTTGGCTTGATTTTTCATGGTTCTCCTGGAGTTTTATGTGAGAACATGGACAAATTTTAACAAAAATGTCGGAATCACTGCCCAAGCGAGGTATCCTGTAAATTCTAATACTATTACATCGCTCCACGTGTCGTATGTTCTGTTCCAGCGAAATTATGCGATAGCCACCGATGATCGCTGCTCGAACGAAAACGAAACGTGCCGACCATCTCATTACAGAAGCGCAAAACGGTAAAGAGCGGACAAAGGAGACAATTAAGACAAGCGCTAACTTTCAACTAACTTTTATTAAAGCAACGCGCAAAGAATATATATCTGTCACATGAAATCGCAGTCATATCAGTCAATCCATCTGAGTTAAGAGACAAGCTGAAGCTAACCAGTAGTGAAACTATGTAGAAAAAAACACGTGCCAGCAAATTTAAGTAATCGTGATCTTTCTTTTTTTTGTTAGTCCTATATGGATAGCTTGCGGACACAGCTTACATTTGCTATCACCGCTGCCTCGATGATGCGCCTAATGCTATCGTTAGGATGAGTAGCCAACACTGTTGTTCCATCAAATAACGGCATGCATTTGCATTCTGTGCAATGAGTCACCAACAAATCATCACAGTCTCTTTTTACTTTTTGGTTGTGTTTAAGTAATTGCACATCGAGGCATTCGTCTGTCTGTCCGACATAACTTTGACCACAGGTCAAAAGTGCTTTATATACTACGCTGCTCAAACATTCAACAAACTCAATCCAGTTGTTAATTTTACAGCTATCAGAAAGTCTTCCTATCGGACTGGCTTTAGCACATAACTGTGGCAACTTATTGGGCGCGGAAAACACCCGTGAAACTGCGGCCCTTTGACTAACCTTTTTTTTATATATTATCTGAAATATCATGCAAGTACGGAGTCACTAGCACCTTCTTACGCACAGCTGCCTACAAATCAGTGCACGTGGCAGTAATCTGAGTCTTTTGCAGTTTTTTTATACCAATATATATATCGGATACCCAGTAGCCTTCAAACGAGCTATCTTCATTGAAGAAAAACGGCTATTTGGGCTAGTTGGTTAGAATCCATGGTGATAAGGGCTGCAGCGCGAGCACGAAGGTGCTAGAAGAAACGTGAAACGAAAGTGGCGAGGCAAGGAAAGCAAAAAGGACAACACGAGCGCTGACTACCAACTGAATTTTATTTTTCGCAGCACACATAATATATACAACAGGCAACCTTTTAACAGCAAACGTGAGCAACGTGACATATTCTGGGGAAGGGTCCGATAAAGAGAAGGTACAATGATAAAATGGCTAACCCTTATCTAAAAGCGCGAACTCTTTGTCATGCAATGCCACCGAAGGCTGGCTCACGCATCCGTCACCACGTTTTCTAATATAATACGCCTCAGCTATTTCACGGGTTAGTTTGTCCATGTGGCGTACCAGCGCACTCACGCCCGTGCTTTTAGATAAGGGTTAGCCATTTTATCATTGTACCTTTTTATCAGACCCTTCCCCAGAATATGTCACGTTGCTCACGTTTGCTGTTAAAAGGTTGCCTGTTGTATATATTATCATGTGTGCTGCGAAAAATAAAGTTCAGTTGGTAGTCAGCGCTCGTGTTGTCCTCTTTGCTTTCCTTGCCTTGCCTTTCGTTTCACGTTTCTTCTAGCACCTTCGTGCTCGCGCTGCAGCCCTTACTTATCACCATGAGCTATCTTCCCTCTGAAACTTTCTGCATTCAATGGTAGCAAGACTTCGTCAACTTAATGCGTTGTGCAAACAAGCACGAACAATACCGCGCTCGTACTAGCTTGCTATGTGCAAAGGCAAAAGGCTACACAGGTGTTTTTTTTTTTTGCGTGGGGCTCACAATTTTAGCATAAATGGCTACTCGAAAAAAAAAAAGCCTCAGGTAGAAGAGCCTCATATATCCACGGAGTGAATGAGGATGACTGGGGCGAAGCGTCCGTCCGTCCATACGTGTGTCCAACCTTCCGTACGCCCATTCGTTCACCCGTCCATCCATCCATCCGTGCTTTCGTCAGTCCGACCGTTCATGCTTCCATCCGTCCGTCCTTGCGTGCGTCCCTCTGTCTGTCCGTGCGTGCGTTTGTCCATGCTCCCATCAGAGCGTGCGTGCGTCCATGTTTGCGCCCATCCATACATACACGTTTGTGCGTCCGTCCATCCGTGCTTGGGTTCATCCATGCATCCATCCGTCCGTGTATCCGTGCTGCTGTCCGTCGATTGTTCGGTTGGTCAGTCTGCTCAACCGTCCGTCCATTCGTTCTTGCTTCCGCCCTAGATAAAAACTTCCGCCCTGATAAAGACTCAATGTCTTTATCAGCATAATTGGAATGCCATCTGGGCCTGTTGATGTACTACTAGGATCCCTATTCGC